AGAACATGAAGAGTTGGTTCCCAGAAAAAGAAGCACAAAATTATAAAAAGTAGCTAAAACGCATTACTAAATAAATGTATAACTAAACAAATAAAACCAGCTCATCCATCAGACTGGTATATTCCTTTTTAGAAAATAATTTAAAATATGCATTATTCTTTGACCTAACAATGCTGCTTCCAGTGTCTATTACATTTACATAAGGGTGGCCATTTGTATAATTCTTTATACTACTAAGACCAAGAAATAACCTACAAATCATGTATATGCTTAAAATTATTTTAATTGCAAAAAATGTAGATTTTAGGTTAATATGTATAGCTTGATTCCCCTGGTTTCATACTTATGTTTTTGTACTTATAAGTAAATGTGGATAGATAGATAGATAGATAGAACAACTTAACTGTGGGGACAAGTTGGGAAGGACATGCCCCATATTGTCACACTGTGAAATGAGATAAGATAAGCAAAGGGAGGACTTGTTTATTTTTATTTTTAAAGTGGTGAGATTAGAGTACATTTCGTGTTTTTATTGACTTTGGTATTTCATAAATGAAACTAGTTTTAAAAAGAAGAAAAATCATCTGTCTTAATGATTAATCATGAATCCAAAGTTAAAAAATCTCAGATATGTTTAGTCCCATTTAACATTTTTCCTTTATTGCAATAGGTGCAGGTATAATATTTTTGTTATATATAGACAAATAAGAAATACATAAAAATTCCTCATAATTCTCATAATCCACCCAATGAAGTAGAGTAGTACTCTACTACATAATGGTTCTAGAAGACTGTACTATTTCTTGTTTATTTCTAGGCTCTACAAAGTTTTGAGTACCATCACAAAAGCAATAGCCCCATAAATCAGTTAATGAGTGGTAATTTTCTACAATTTTTTTAAAATGCATATAATACTCTTTAAAAACTATCATAGTCTTGAAAAATTATGTACCAACAAAATGGACAACCTAGATGAAATGGATAAATTCCTAGAGACATATAACCTCACAAAACTGAATCAGGAGGAAATAGACAATTTGAACATACCGATTACTAGCAATGAAATTGAATAAGTAACCAACAAACTCCCAAAAACAAAAGTCCAAGACCAGATGGTTTCATAGGTGAATTCTACCAAACATTTAAAGAAGAGTTACTACCTATTCTTTTCAAACTCTTCCAAAAAACAGAAGAGGAAGGAAAACTTCCAAATTCATTCTATGAGGCCAGCATTACCCTGATACCAAAACCAGAAAAAGACACCACTGAAAAAGAGAACTATAGGCCAATATCTCTGATGAACACAGATGCAAAAATCCTGAAGAAAATATTAGCAAACTGAATCCAACAATACATTTAAAAAAATCATTTACTACAATCAAGCAGGATTGATTCCTGGGATGCAAAGGTGGTTCAGTATTTGCAAATCAATCAATGTGATATATCATATCAACAAGAGAAAGGGTAAAAACCATACAATCATTTCAGTAGATGAAGAAAAAGCATTGGACAAAACATCCATTCATGATAAAAACTCTCAACAAAATAGGTTTAGAGGGAATACACCCCAACATAATAAAAGCCATCTATGAAAAACCCAGAACTAGCATCCTATTCAATGGTGAAAAACAGAGTTTTTCTCCTAAGCTCAGGGACAAGACAAGGATGTTCATTCTTATCACTTTTATTCAACATAATACTGGAAATCCCAGCTACAGCACTCAGACAAGAAAAGGGAATAAAAGGCATCTGAATTGGTAAGGAAGAAGTAAAACTGTCACCATTTGCAGATGATATGATATTATATGTAGAAAACCCTAAATACTCCACCAAAAAACTACTAGAATTGAAAAATGAATTCAATAAAATTTCAAGACACAAAATCAATATACAGAAATCAGCTGCATTTCTATACGATGATGAAGTAGCAGAAAGAGAAATTAAGAAAACAATCCCATTTACAAATACACTGAAAATAATAAAGTATCTAGGAGTCAATTTAACTAAGTAGGTGAAAGACCTGTACTCTGAAAACCATAAAACATTGATGAAAGAAACTGAGGATGACACAAACAAATGTAAAGATATTCCATGCTCACTGACTGGGAGAAAAATTCTGTTAAAACGTCTATACTAACCAAAGCAATCTATAGATTCAATGCAATCCCTATCAAAATACCAATGGCATTTTTCACAGAACTAGAACAAATAATCCTAAAACTTGTATGGAACAAAATATCCTTAAATAGCCAAAACAATCTTGAAAAAGGACAGAGCTGGAGGTATCACAATCCCAGATTTCAAGATATACTACAAAGCTGTAGTAGTCAAAACAGTATGGTACTGGCACAGAAATAGACACATAGATTGATGGAACAAAATAGAGAGCCCAGAAATATACCCACAATTATATGGTCAGTTAATCTATGACAAAGAGGGCAGGAATATGCAATGGAAAAAAAAGACAGTCTCTTCAACAAATAGTTTTGGGAAAACTAGACAGCTACATGCAAAGGAATGGAATTGGACTTTCTTACCCCATACACAAAAATAAACTCAAAATGGATTAAAGACCTAAATGTAAGACCTGAAACTCTAAAATTCTTAGAAGAAAACATAAGCAGTAATCTCTTTGACATCAGCCACAGAAACATTTTTCTAGATATGTTACCTCTGGCAAAGGAAAGAAAAGCAAAAACAAACTATTAGGACTACACCAAAATAAAAAGCTTTTGCACAGTGAAAAACCATCACCAAAACAAAAAGACAAACTATTAAATGGGAGAAGATATTTGCAAATGATATATCCAATAAAGAGTTAATATTCAAAATATATAAAGAACTTATACAACTCGGCACCAAAAAAGATAAATAATCCAATTAAAAAATGGGCAAAAGACATGGACATTTTTTCCAAAGAATATATGCAGATGGCCAACAGACACATGAAAAGATGCCCATCACTCATCATCAAGGAAATGCAAACTGAAACCACAATGAGATATCACCTCACACCTATGAGAACGGCAAAAATAAAAAACACAAGGAACAAGTGTTAGTGTGTATGTGGAGAGAAAGGAACCCTTTTGCACTGTTGGTGGGAATACAAACTGGTGCAGCCACTGTGGAAAACAGTATGGAGGTTCCTCAAAAAATTAAAAATAGAATTACCATATGATCTAGTAATTCCACTCCTGGGTATTCATCGAAAGAATACAGAAATACTAACTCAAAAAGATAAAATGCACCTCTATGTGTATTACAGCATTATTTACAATGGTCACCAGATGGAAGCAACCCGAATGTTCCTTTATAGGTGAATGGATTAAGAAGAGGTGATACACACACACACAAACACACGTGTGTATATATATCAAATGGAATACTACTCAGCTATAAAGAATGAAATCTCACCATTTGCAACAACATGGATGGATCTAGAGAGTATAATGCTAAGTGAAATAAGTCAAAGAAGGACAAATACCATATGATTTTACTCATATGGGGAATTTAAGAAACAAAACAAAGGAACAAAGAAAAAAGAGACAAACCCAAAAACCAGACTCTTAAATATAGAGAACAAACTGGTGACTACTAGAAGAGAGGTGGGTGGGGGGATGGGTGAAACAGGTGAAGGGGATTTTTTTTTTTTAAGATTTTATTTATTTATTTGACAGAGAGAGAGAGACACAGCAGGAGAGGGAACACAAGCAGGGGGAGTGGGAGAGGGAGAAGCAGGCTTCCCGCCGAGCAAGCAGCCCGACGTGGGACTCGATCCCAGGAACCCAGGATCATGACCTGAGCCGAAGGCAGACGCTTACCGACTGAGCCACCCAGGTGCCCCAGGTGAAGGGGATTAAAAGTACACTTATTGTGATGGGCACTGAGTAATATATGGAAGTGCTGAATCATTATACTGTACATCTGAAACATATAATACTGTATGTTAATTGTATTGGAATTAAAAAAATAAAAATTTTAAATAAAATAAAACTATCATAGTCTTAGCATATGTCCACACAAAACTTGTACACATATATTCATAGCAGTATTATTTATAAGTCAAAAAATGAAAACAACCCAAATGTACATCAACTGATGAATGAATAAACAAGATGTGGTCTATCCACACAATGGAATTTTATTTGGCAGTAAAAAGGAATGATACTGATACATGTTACAACATGGGTGAACATTATGCTAAGCGAAAAAAGCCAGTCACAAAGTATTACATATTGTACAATCTCATTCATATGAAATATCCAGAGTTGCCCAATTTATAGAGACAAAAGTAGATTCGCGGTTGCTTGGGGCTGTGGAAGAGGGTAGGGAGAAGGTGGGAAGTGACTCCTAGTGGGTTCTAGGTTTCTTTTTGGAGTGATGAAAATGTTTTGTTTTGTTTTTAATTTTTTAAAGATTTTATTTATTTATTTGACACAGAGAGAGAGATAGTGAGAGCAGGAACACAAGCAGGGGGAGTGGGAGAGGGAGAAGCAGGCCTCCCGCCAAGCGGGGAGCCCGGCACGGGACTCGATCCCAGGACCCTGGGATCATGACCCGAGCCGAAGGCAGACGCTTAACGACTGAGCCACCCAGGAGTGATGAAAATGTTTTAAAATTGAATTTATAGTGATGATCGTACAACTCTGTTATTATACCCCAGAACCAATGAATTGTGTACTTTAAATGGGTAAACTTTATGGTATGTAAATTATATCTCAATAAAGCTCTTTTAAAATGTCTTAGGGAAGTGTTTTATTAATGCTAGTACAGCTGTAAATGAGAAGAGTTTTAAAGAATTTGTCCTTTTTCTTTTGTGTTCCCAATTGTCTTCTCCATATCACCACACTCCTACACTAAAACCCAGAGAGATTGTGGTTGATTGTGATCCTCTCTATAGAGAATTTTCCCCCTCCCAGTGGGTTTTGAACCTATTTGGTTGATACGTTTCTTGAATCAGCAGCCCACAAATGAAGATAAAATGGAAGTGCTGTACCTACCTTCAATAATATGTTTTCTTGACAACCCTCTTTCCGTTTCAGCTCTAACAAGAAAAAGAAGCAAATGACTTTGAGTGGGGTGTGCTTTTTTTTTTAATTGCTGTTTCAAAAGTACAGAGGAATAATCATTCTAGATTGAATTGCTAATTTTATACCCTGTTCTTGGCAAATTCCATGCCACAGGTTGAGGAGAGAAGGCTGGTGAGCAATGCACCGAGCCCCTTTTCTTTGGAGACCCCAGGTGATGAATTAACCATGACTCTCCTCACACAATATCAATAACAACTCAGCCACACACACCCGTCCATGTATAATGTGATATATTATCACATATCAATATATGGCTCAACCATCCCACCTTGATTTTAACTAATCCCAGACTGCCCCCCACCCCCAAAAAAGCCTTGACATAAGTTTGTGAACTGTTGATGACATTCGCTTTTCTGAGAGAGGAAGCAAATTTGGAAGTGCCTTTTGACTGGCAAAAGAAATTTAACAATTACTTTCTGTTAAAATGTGATGTAAGTCTTTCTTACATTAGTATCCTAAGAAGACAAACATCTAACTAGGACTTTTGTCTTTCCAGACCATCCTCAAGCACTGGCCAGTTAGAAAGAAATATGGTCCTCAAGTTTTTATTATTATTATTATTATTATTATTATTATTATTATTATGTTAATCACCATACATTACATCATTAGTTTTTGATGTAGTGTTCCATGATTCATTGTTTGCATATAACACCCAGTGCTCCATGCAGAACGTGCCCTCTTTAATACCCATCACCAGGCTAACCCATCCCCCCACCCCTTCCCCTCTAGAACCCTCAGTTTGTTTCTCAGAGTCCATAGTTTCTCATGGTTCGTCTCCCCCTCTGATTTCCCCCCTTCATTCTTCCCCTCCTGCTATCTTCTTTTTTTTTTTTTAACATATAATGTATTATTTGTTTCAGAGGTACTCAAGTTTGAAAGTCTTCATGAAATGTTTCTTCAACATCACTACCTGTGGCAACATCTTTTTAAAACATAGTTTACCATTTGCCTTTGGTGATTTTCAATCTTTTATAAAAACATTAGATAGTATTGTATGTCATACTCTGCTACATAATGGTTCTTGAGGATTGTCTTCTTCCCTGTTTATTTCTAAAGCATAGGCAAGGCTTTAGGTACAATCACCAAAGCACTGAGCAACAGCACCATGAATCAGAAGACAAAGTAAATCTACATTTCTCACAAGCACCATGTTGCTTGATTTTTATATAGGCGATAGTAGGAATAAAAATCTAAATTCCATCCTTCTGTCTTCATAGTCATCATAAATAGGCTCAAAAATAGTAATAAAATATGAGTGTGTATGTGTGGGAGCTATTTGTATACATATACATTTTTATTTGAAGACTCCTAAGGAACTGTCCTCTGTCTCCAATTTTGTTTCTAACTGTTCCCTCTCAATTATAGGGAGGTAAATAAGGTTTTGTTTTTGTTTTTGTTAAGATTCCATGGAAATATTTGTGATTTCCATGAAAAGGTATGTGGAATAGCTAGCCAGACTTCTAAGTTCTGCTGAATCATGTAAGTACCAGTTCAAACACCAGTAGGCTTATTAGAGGCCAATTCATCCTGTGAAGGTTGTTTGCATCCCACAACAGACAGAGGACCTCTCTTCCATTTGCCTGCCAGTGAGTGATATGGTAGCTTCCTGTTATTCCCAAAAGGCGGTCCTTTTGATCAACATTTTCAACGCCTTCTGCAGAAATGATCAGAGACTCACACATGGGGCCAGACAAGATATTTTTATCTTTGCATTCCATGGAAGTCTCTGAGTTTTGGCAGATTCAAATAGCTTTTCCTCTGTGATGCTATGTGCTTGTTTTCTTTTCCTAAAATTTGAACTCTATTTTGGAAATGGTTCTAAGCATGAGGCTGGTATTTGAAAATCTCCTTGAATTACTTAGTAACAAGTGGACCACATGCTTTACACTACATTTCTTTGGGGCATCTTGCTGAAATTGAATCCTAGGCTAATTGCTATTTCCTTCAAGGCAGAAAAAATAATCTTTTTCCCCAAATCAATTAATTTTAGTACATTAGATGTAAAATGGTTGCCCAAAAGGATAAAAGTATGAACTACTAGTTGTTTCCTATCAAGTAGGGAAAAGAAAAGTATTTAACTTACTTTCCACCCCAGTAGAGTTTGGTTGTTATGACCAAGCTGGACCTCCTGTATGTTAGACAAACAGAGAGAAATATTAAATAAATTGTTGGTTTTTGTATTGAGTCGTATTATTATAGCACCAGAAAGAATTTATTGTACCTCCCATTAAAAAAAAAAAAACTGGTAAAGAGATAAATTTGTTAATTCATGTCACTGAAATATTGGGACAAAGGGAAGCTGATGAGTGTGGACGTGAAGTCAGATCCTAGATAAAGAGGTTGAAGGGGAATGACCTTTACCTGGAGGGTCAGGTGGAGGAAGCTGTGGCAGTGAGCAGCTGATGGGGGGGTGGTAAAGAGCATGAGCGGTAGGCACCGAGGGGCAGGGATGGTAAACGAGAGGGTAAGTGAGTGGATTTAAAGGACGAACTGCTTTAGTAGCACATACTAACGCTTATTTAGCATCTGCCATAACGTTGATTGAGTGTGAGCTTTCCTGGAGCTCAGTCCACCCTCTGCCAAGGACCACGGGCCCTAGCGGCTCTGAGTTATTACGCTTTCCAGCAGGCAGTAACTGACTGCATAGAGATATGAATGAGAGAGTGGTCAATTAATAGGAATACATTTTCTTTGACTATTTTATTAAATGGAAACATTATTTTAGGAAAACAGTTCCAGAATTTGTAACTCAAGGTTTTAACCACTTTACTCCTAAGGGAATGAAAGGTGGAAATCTTGTCAGCAAACTTATTGCCTTCTCCAAACCACACCCAAGGGCAAGAAATGGCAATGGTATTATCATGATGGTGGATTAGGAAACGTGTCGTGAGAATTATGGCCACATAATTTACAATCAGGAGGCAGATCTCAGTATAATTTAGTTTCTCCAGGTATATAATTCAATTGAACTGGCCTAGGGAAAAAAAAATCGTCTGAGATTCAAAGGCTAAGACCAAACTTTGGGAGTATTTGAAATAAGGCATTTATAATTCCATCAGCTATAGAGCCGATGCCTTGGGGCCCAAGATATAAGAGCCTCACAAGATTAATGATAACCAAATGGGGACAAGGATGACAATTCTGACAGCCTAGCTGTGACAAGAAAAAATTGTAGAAAATGCCAGCAACCCCAACCCACTGAAGTTAATTCCCTGAACAGTGATTTGAATCACTGTAACGGAAGCCCTACAGATACGTGCATCTGGAGATTACACACTGAGGAAGGGCTGATGCACCTTCCAGGTTAATCCATCAACCTCACGATACCCAGTGTAACAGCAATCTGCCACAGGGGAGCCAGGTCTCCTCTAGCAAACATTTTCACAGCTTCAACCAGACGCCAGATAGGATATTATAAAAAATGAAGGCAGTCCTCTCGATTATTCAGAGAGGCTGGGCCCACCAGAGCTGCACATCCTCTCCAAATACTATCAGAGATTTTTTATTTTTTTCAAAGTTAGGCTTTCCGGAAAATATTTGGGTTCCGTCGGTGTGCACACTAACATGTACGTTCAAAGGGCAAGAGTAGCCAGCGACCCGGCCAATTACCGCTGACTGTCATGGAGGCATCTCCAGCAACTCTTCTGAATGGCTGGAGACTGATAATATGAGCATTCTACATGATAGAGCACAGCTTTCAAAATACTTTTGCACCCTTCATCTCACTTTATCAGCACGACACTTCATGAACAGTTAGGCCGTCCATTTTACAGATGGGGAAATGGAGACTCAGACAAGTGAAGTAACCTGCCCTGGAAAGCACAGCAGGCAAGGGGTGGTGCTGGGACTAGAAGCTAAACATGCTAGTTGAAATTGCTTGTAGAGACTCTGTGATACGGTCTATCTTTTCATCAGTCTTGTAGGGGTAGCCGTGCACTGATATCAATATTCCGGAGCATGGTGACAGCTTGGGTTTTTATCTGCAAGACGGAAAGCCAGTTTGTAGAAGATGCATGTTAATCTGGTTTCTTGTAGGTGTATAACAGCCTCTGTAAACCACGGAGAGTGATGGTTAGAGGTTGTCCGGGTGTTAAGGGGAGGGAGCTCCTGCACTGATGATGCTCCCCTCCTTCCCTTCCTCAGGTGTCCTCTGTCAGCCCGCACCTCGCTGCGCAGTTCACGGGGCTGTGAGTGGACTCATCTCCAGGGGCTCTGTTATGGGCTCAGTTGTGTCCCCTAAAAAGACTTGGTCAAGTCCTAACCCCCGGTACCTCAGAAAGGGAGCTTATTTGGAAATGGGGTCATTACAGATGTAATTAATTAAATTAAGATGAGGTCATACTAGAGTAGGGTGAGTCCTTAATCCAATACGACCAGTGTCCTTTGAAGAAGACACACGGACACACACGAGGGGAGAAGGCTATCTGATGGCAGAGGCAGAGGCTGAGTGCAGCCGTGGCTGAGGAATGCCCAAGATTGCCAGCAAAAGCCAAAACCTAGGGAGAGGCGAGGAAGGATTCTACTCAGAGTTTCAGAAAGAGCACGGCTCGGCCCAAAACTTGATTTTGTACTTCCGGCCTCCAGAACTGTGAGAGAATAACTTCTATTGTCTGAAGCCACGTAGTTTGCAGCACTTGGTTCCAGGAGCCCTAAGGAGTGGTGCAGTCCCTATTTGGGCGGTGATGGATGGTTCTGAGTGGGAACGGAACTCCCGCAAGGTGGAGGCCTGGGCAGGGATGTGAATATTTTTCCATATTTAAGGTTGAATATAATTTTCTCTGAATACCCTTATAATCCCTGGAGTAGGGGAGGAGGAGCAGGGAGAAAGAGAAAGTGGGTCACCAAACTTTATTTGTTCATCTCTCTATAAATTTCTAAGTTTCCATTTCCACTAATACTACAGAGCTCTTTTTATCTGGCCAACAGCTGATCTTCTACCAGAGCAGAGAGGATCCCAAACTCGTCCTGTGGTCTTGGCCTGATTCTCTACTCAGGCTGGGGAAGAAGGGGCTGTCATGGTTGACATGCTCAGTGAAGTGGAGGGGGATTGCCTCCCCACCCCCCACAACTGAGGCATTCCTCTTTACCACTGATGTTGGCTACAGCCCGCGATGGAAGGGGATGTGACCCCCCTCAAGGACAGCAGACGAAGCACTTCCAGATTAATAGGGCTCCCTGTACACGGCAGAGGTGTTGGCTAATTGTGTTCAGATGAGAGAGCTTTGGGGCATTGATCACAAGGACTTCTTTCTTCATCATTTCTTTGCACCCGGAGTTGTCAGTAAAATGAACAGTGAACATAAATACATGTGTATAGATATTCAGCTTCCTATCAGCTGCCTTCCTTTGCCAAATTACCGCAAATGGCAGTGAGAAACCATGAAAATGCCACTATCTTTTATGCATGACTATCTCATGACCATCCCCTCCTTCTCTGCTCTACCAACCCCGTGGTAATTCATTGCGATCAATGACTCATCAATACTTTTTGAAGCACAAGTAATGAACTTGTTGGTATTTATTTTCAAACCACTATAAATCATCTCTTTACCAAGAATTGACTTCTTTTTTGACAGCCTTTTGTTCAGCTGTCATGCAATTTTATTTTCCCTTCTCTGGTGCAAAATAATAATAGTCTTTTTAAAGGCAAGTACATGATTATCGTGAATGCATTACCTCCAGCCTTTCTTCTTGATGATGCTCCCCAGAATCACTTCAGCCCTGGAAGGGAAACAGAAAATGGCTTAGGATACAGTGTCCCAGAAACGCAAGAGTCAATCCAAAACCACGAAAGCCATTCCTTGTTTGAACTCTCAGTGCCTACATGTCCCGAAAATAGAAGCTGCTCTCGGCTAGTAGCACAGTTTCTGCTATTTCTGCTTGTGCCTGCAGAATCCTGCTCCTGGAGCATTCCAGAAGCACCTGCCAAATCCTGACATGCTGGCAGGAGACCGCCTATGGTCCTGATATTAAGAAACAACAGAGTCATTTGGCAGTTTGATGTTTTTGAGCCACTCATCCCGTATATAAATATCCTACTTGGCGGAATCCAGTGGGAGTCAAGGTTTCCCTCCTAGTTACCATGGTCTTTGATTGCGACCGAGGACAATGAGAACTTGCACTGTTTAGACAGAACATACTGACTCCCAGGTGATCTTGCAGGATGAAAAAAAAAAAAAATCAAACAAAACAAACCAGGTGGGGGTTTGGCTGTCCCAAAGGCTAGGGCTGCAGATGCAGTGGCCCACATCAAGAAGGTCCTGGGTCCTAGGGACAAGTGTTGCCATAGCAGCAAGCTGCAAGGAGATGTAGAGAAGTGTTCTTCCTGCCCCTAAGGGTGGGTAGTGGAGAGGTATACTGAAGACATTCTCCACTGTTTTCTCCCCTCCACCTACCTGAGCTGGGACCCAAGGTAAGGAGACTAAAACTTTCTTGTAGGTCCCTCCCAGGCCGAGCGATGCTGTGAGAAGCCACTGGGCTCTCAGAGGCTTTCTGAGTGGGGACATCAGTGGAATTAGCGCTTTGTTCATTAGAGTCCTATGGGTGCAGAATGGTCACTGACCATTTTCTGTCTTGGCTGAAAGTTCTGTCTTTGTTGGAGTGTCCAGCCTGGCAAGAAATGATGCTGCAGGGCAGCTACAGAGCATGCTCCAGACAGACCTAAAAGGGATGTCACCCCAGCCTCCCCTGCCCAGCCCCCTCTGGCTCTGAGGTTGCCTTTTGCAACCTTGCATTTCATGGCGGGAACCTAGCTCAGGTGCACGCTGACAGTAAGTAGCCAGGACTGACTATCCTTCATAGTAGGAATACAGACCACCTGAGCAGGATGCAACAGGAGAAGAGAACCGAGAAAGGCTCGGATGTGGGAAGGAGCCGGGCCTTATCAATTTTACTTCCTCTCCTTGGACTCAACAGAAAACACCAGACACGTGGGCTCTGAACTCCCCGCTGGTCCTTAAACACAGCCGTGCCCTTGGGAAGGAGGAAACCCACGTGAGGAAAATGCACTGAAAGTGCCCCCAGCACTTCTGGGGGCTCTTGTTTTTATCAGTTGTATTACAGAATGAAAAAAAAGAAGATTCAACCAGCATATATAGGGGAAACCAGGCCACCACGAACCGGAGTTTGACTGTGATTCTCACCCGGGAGGGGCTGGTGGGGAGTTCGGTCTGCTGGTGATTAGGCACCACAGTCCTATTAGAAAATTGCGTTGCTGCTCAAGCACCTGCCAGCTACTTAGTTTCTTTCTGTTCTGGGGGCTCTGTCAGTCTGTCCGTGTGGACAGCAGGTGGCCAAGGTGCTCCGGTTTTGTTCCTCAATGTGCTTGTTGTGCTGGCGCATGGAAGGCATGGACCTTGAGGCATCCCCAAGGGCACATTCCCCACATGGTCTGACCAAGCTGTGAGTCCTGTCTCAGAGCCCCAAACCTGCTCTGGGGTCCATGGGAAGGTTGGAGCTGGTGTGACTTCTCTAGCAAAAGCAGCAAGGACCTCCTACAGTCCTCTCTGTCCTCTGCCCTCCTATAAAACAGACTACACTTCTTGGCATCTCTGAGGACCCCTCTTTTAATCCCTGCTCTCCTTGTCATGCTAGGTGGAAGGATGGGCCTGCCAATGGGAAAAGCAGTCCCTGGTCCTTGCAGAGAAGACGCCCCAGTTTCCCTCGGGGGCGTGAGGAACTATGAGATGTGGTTATGAAAGAACAGGACGAGCTTTGGAACTACCACTCTGGAATCTGCTCCTTTACTTCCTCCCTCATGTAGTCAACTAACACTTCTTGATCTCCCCTGCCACCACTCTGGTCCCAGCCACCTCGGCCCCTCAGGTAGCCCATGGCGATGTTTTCAGTCCATTCCTCATACAGGGACCAGGGGCAGGAAGGTTTGGGTGGGCAGAGGGAGCCAGAGGCGGTCAATAAATACCCCCAACTCTGGGAATGGGGATAGAGAAAGGGAGAAAAGCAGTGCCACCAGAGTGTGTGGGAAGGGCAGACCCTTCTCACCAGCATGTCAGCAATGGTCCGGGCACTCTTGGTACCACAAATGCCACTTGAGGGACACAGATGGGCACTGACTTACTTTCCAGCAGCATAGACTTCGGCAGTATCAAAGAGATTCACTCCACTTTCGTAGGCAATTGTCATCAGCCGTTCAGCAACCTGCAAGAGGATGTGGAGGTCACTCAGAAAAGCCAAATGGTTTCCGAACCCAGGAAGCAAGTTTGTAATCCTCCGCTGGTCTTTATTCTTTAAGAACACTGAAATCTCACTATAACCCCTCCTTGTTTTTATCAGTTGTATTACAGAATGAAAAAAAAGAAGATTCAACCAGCATATATAGGGGAAAAGTATCACCGGGCCCTAAGGGATTTCCTTCAGCGCTGAGATAAGTCAGTCCTCAGGAGCCTGGTGACGGAGGTGGATCGATTTGTGTTTCTCACTCTGCTTGGAAGATCTGGTTTGACAACATTCTCTGCGGCATCATAATCTCTCTGACAAAGAGGGTCAGTTGTACCACTGGTGACTCCATTTCCCTTCTTCTCCTTTCTCCAAGCCAATAGGTTTTGGCAGCTGGGTGCCTCCTGACCTAAAAGCCTGTGCCTTTTTTCCTCGAGGCTCAGTGGACTGTGCTGATGAACCAGAGGTTAGACAGAGCCCTGACTGCTTTCAAACTCATACCACCCGTAGCTCAGCAAAACCCCAGCCACTGTCACAGAGCTACCAGCCAGCAGAGAGGAGGGACAGAGCTTGTGCGCTGGCTCACCGGGATCCCGCTCCCCACCGGTCAGCCTGCAAAGACATCCCCCTGCTCCTTGCCCCTTCCTTTGGGCTGCCGGACACGAGGGGCAAGTGTGCAGGACTACCAAGAGTACCAGTATCTCTAGAAACAACAGCTTGAGGGAGCACTTTAGAGGGACAGTGATAAACAACAGGGGAGAGGACATTTTTTCATTTTGCTGATAGACTTACTGGTCAACTGAAAAATAACACACCTCACAAATAATTAAAATGGATTTTTCCATTACACCTTTGATTGCAGGCTGAGGTGGCTTCATCAGCATTTCCAAGATAAACTCTTCCCCTGTTGTTTTTAAAATCGGCATATCAAGAAAATTATTAGGCTAACAAAAAGGAGTCCAGGCCAATCCTTTAGAATAATAGCAGTAAAAATGTGATTGCTGCTTTTAATTTGCGACCATTATGACATTTATCTCAAGTAGAAATTAAAGTTAAGACAAGTATAGTTTTTCCCATCACGACTGCCCTATGTTTAAGAAATTACTGTGCTTGCCCTGTATATTTTCCTTGTGTTATGTCACATCACATACAAGTGGATCCTTATTGGGAAATGTGCATAATATTATCTAGCAGGAAATTTTAAGATAAGATGGAGAATCCTGGATGGAGAGTTGGACTACGTGATCGCTGAAATGCTTCCCAACCATAAAATTTAAACACCTGAATGTGGAATAGTGAAGTCGCTGACATAAGAAGACTGTTTTCTGGCCTTGAGTGTACTGCTTACTGGATAAATGAACTTGGGGAGGTCATTGGCCCTCTCAGCATTTTAGCTTTTTCATCTGCAAACTGAGGATGGTGCCATTCAGGTCCCCCAGGTAGACAGACAGGCTTCTGTGGAAGCGGACCTCCCCCCACTCCAAACGCCAGCCTGGCAGGTGGAAAAGTAAGTGGTTTGGGGAAGGTCATGTGACACGTTTGGACCAATGAGATGCAAGGACAGATTCGCAGAGGCCTCTGGGAACATCTTTCCTTGTTCTTCTTACAAAATTTCGAGAAGCAACACCCTTTCCCTGGAGTTGCTGTTCTGAGCAAGGCTTAGAATTCCTGCAGCTAGCCTACTGTCTGAGGATGAGGTCGCTGTACAAAGGAACACAGGGCCGCGGGGATCCCTGGGGAATGGAGTGGGGCCACTGATGGAGTCCACCCTGAAGCCTGCTCTACCTCAACACTTTTAGCTGGAAAATCAAGGTAACTTTTCCTGTACTGATTAAGCCAGTGTGACTTGAGTTTATTGTTATGTGCAATTCAAGGAACCCTAGCTACATTACAGGTAAGAAAATATAAATAAAACTGAAAATTAAGTGCTAGAAGATAGTGATACATATATACTTATCATAGTTAAAAATATTATTCACATGAGTAACATCTGTCTTGGTTTTATGATGAAGCCAAAACATCTGGGAGGCACCTCACAGAGTTATCTATTGTGGTATTTGGGTCCTTTTGCTATTACCCCTGTCAAGGGGCTAGTTGGTATATGGCTGGATTCTCCCAGGAATGGGGACATCACCACCTCCCGAGGCAGCATTGGTGGTTGTGTCACTCAGCACGTCACAGTGTGGTCATCCTGGGATTCACAGTTTGTACCTGCTTTGTGCTGAGCTCATCCAAAGCAGAGAGAAGGCAGAGAAAAACTGGGAAGGTGAATTCATTGCTACTGGCCTGCATTTTTCCCTCATGGAAATGGTTGAGCTCCAGCGATTCAGCTGCTGGGGGGACCGTGGTCTCCCTGTGCCTCCCTGCCTCCTCCTTGCTGCCATTCTCTCTGCAGGGACCAGGGGGAAAATAAACAGTAGCTATTTGTCTGGTCTGCATCTGAGGTGAGAGCCTCTGCAGCCGTTCACGACAGCTTTATTGTGCAGTTTTTAGACTCGTACTTTTGAAATGATGTATTTCAGAGTCCAGCCTTGCACACTCTGACCTGGGCAAGCTGGGCTCATTGCAGCAGAAAGCAGATACTGTAAAGAGGAGACAAACATGAAAGGGGAGATGGTGCCCTTAACAGCTGGCCCTTCTGCTCCTAAAGCGAAGGTGTATTCGTCTTTTTCTCCTCCTGCTACCGTAACAGGCAGTACAAGGTTATTACTCTTGCTGGATACAGTAGATTATTAATTCTGGGTCTCCCTCCCGGTCACCTGCTTTGTGTCTGACTTAAGTTTGTGGCCATGGTTTTGATATTTATAGACTCGCCTCTGTGCCTCCTCCACACACCCTACCTGATACTCATCAGAGGGCCCTGTAATGAACCCTGTGAGGACCCCTCAGATTCTCCTTCAGAACTGTAGGACCTAGTCCCCTAGTTGCTGGGAAATTGCACTTGGCTGAAAACAGTTGCCTCGCCTAAGGTGAGACCCACCAGGGCAGCTTCTCTCTGATGACTGGTCATACAAAGGGTATAAATACTCAATCCTTTTGCCCCAACCTTGGACAACTCTGCAGGGCCATCTCAGCTTTGGAGCTCCCCATGGGGTCAGCCATGGTCATTGTTGAGACTGCACCATGGCCTGATTTTCTAGTAACTGTTCCGCATGCTAATCTCCAGCACAGTCTACTTTCCAAGGAATTCCCCGCGCGACAAACTCCATGGTGACCTATGCCCAATACCAGGAGCAGGCATTCAGATAGATGAGAATGTGCGGATAAGACTCCTATCCCCAGGATCTATTAAATAACACTGGTGACCTTGGGAGCAGTGGAAAAGACCATCCATTCCCCCGAGCTGCTTCTTAGGAAGGATAGTAAGGACTACCTTTATGAAGGGCTTGTTCTGGGCCAGGCATGGGGCTGAGCACTTCATAGGCATCATTTCATTAATCTTAATCGTGATCCTGCTGAGTAGGGGCTATCACCTGCATTTTGCTGATGTGGCAACTGTTAGTAAATGTTAGTAAATCTAGTGGCAGATGGGCTGGATCCCACTGAGTGTATCCACTCAGACATACTATCCCAGACTCCTCAGTGGTGTTGCAGGTAAGCAAAAAAGATATTGGAGGGACTTGAGGACTTTGTCCTTGGGGGGGTTATTGATGCTCAATGCCTGCATGACTCACTTATGCCATGAAGATATTCCTTAAGGCAATGATAAGAATATCACTTTGGTAAGCACTGTTTTGAATGAATAAACAAAGATTTAGAGGAATTTTACAGTAAATAAATTATTATAGCTGCCATTATTGGGTGTCTGCTACCTACCAGTCAAAGGGTTGCCTAAACATCTCACACGTTAAACATGGTTAACCCTTTCAACAGACCTCCAAGGTAAACTTTATCATCCCATTTCATATCAGAGGAACTGAGGCTCTGAAAGATTGGATCAACTTGCCCAAACCGAGGTGACCAGCTGGGACTGGGAAACCCATGCTAGAAATGAAAAGTCCCTGGAAACTAGGACCAGTTAGTTGGTCACTCTAGGTGGAGCCAAAACACACACACACACACACACACACACACACATCCCAGCAATGAAATCTTTCCATAAAGCAACTAAATATTAATGCCAAGTTGGTTTTTCTCTAACAATTGCACCCGCACATATAATAGATTGACAACCTCATGGGCTACTAGTAGTCTAAATGTGAAAAATACAGTAAACAGAATAAAACTGAAAATACTCTTTGATTCAATCTTAACCATTTTCCATGGTTTATCCTTATAAAATTCCAGGACCCCAAGAAGACTACTCCCACTGCCCAGTTTTACATTTTCTTTGATCACCAAAATGGAAGCCAAGTGACTTACCTCATCTGAAATCTGACCTCCAAATGTCACCCATGTTCCTAGAAAAGAATATTTGCACATTATTCATAATCATTTTTCTAACATTATGCATAATGAGAGGAAACTTTTCTTACAACAGGGCTCCTTCACTAGGTTGTTCACAAAGGTATCCAGATAAGAGGCACATGGGGTGTCTGGATGACATCCAGCCTTCCTCCCTTCTTCAGTAAATACTCTGCAGGGGTCTGCATCCCTCCTCACTCAAAGGGCTCATATATGCTAATGGCAGCCCTGTCCTACAAAATGCTTTTTCTTCTGATGTAGGACCATGAATGATCGTGTGCAGGAGTGTGTTCTCCCAAGCCCATTGTGGCTACATATGCATTTTGGTGAAGCCAGTAGTTTTGAAGGTACAAGAGAAAAGGTACACGAAGCCGCCATTTCTGAACATGAAGATAAGACCCTGTGTTGTGGTTCTTCCCTTCTTTACCTCCAATAAGGGACTCTGCTTTGTATTCCCTGTGACCTTTCAAAAGGAAGCCTCTCAGGTGTCCTTCCAGTCCCCACTTTCAAGCCCCAGGAGGTGACACTTAGGCGCCTCCTCTGTTACAACCTGCTACTCCAGAATGGAAATTTCCATTGGTTTAGAGATGGAGGCAAGAGATGGAGGCAAGAGCTGGAGTGAGGGTTGGGAAGGCAGGGGGAGATCTTTGGCTGCACAACCAGCAGCCAAAGATTTGCATTTGTAAAGCAAGAGGGAAGCAGACACTGGCTCTTGCCAGGCCAGTCGGTAGTCACTGCAATCATTCATTCCCTCCTTGATCCTTTTTGTTTGTTTTTATCCGAATGATATGCCTGGCAAAGGCACTGCACCCAGGTGCTAGGGACAGTGACCTAGTTCCTCCCTCCCAGGGGCTCACAGTTTACAATACCACAAAGCCAGACTGAGGCAAACACAAAGCAGTAAGGGAGGGAGAGCTCTACCTAGGCTGGAGGGAGGTGGCCCTCCCGAAAGACTTCTTGGGAGAGGTGACACTTTGGTTGAGTTGCAAAGGAGGTGACCTAATGATGAAGGAAGGGACAGGCATTCCAGGTACAGATAGGAGCCCAGACGAGGTTAGAGGGTGGCAAACATCAGCGTGTGCTGACAAGCTGTGGTGGGCCACGGAGCAGAGTGAGGACACATGATGCAGAAAGGTGGGGGGAGGGGTGCAGGAGAGAGAGCCAAGACACAATCAATGCTTGTGGCGCATACAAAGAAATGTGTTTGGAGTTGTATGTTTTGCGTTTCATAACAGTCATAGTTAGCATTTATGGAACACCTCACAAATGCTGACAGTATGCTGAGAAACATGTATACTTTTGTCTCTCATAATCTTCGCAAACTTACAAGCCAACTGTATTATCCCTCCTTCCAGATGAGGAATCTAACGTCAACCAACCTAATAAGTGAAATACCCAGGATTCCCCAAACAGGCCCGGCTTCAAGAAGGATATCCTTTTCACTGCATCTCACTGCCTCCTTAGAATATTTCCAAATTAATTATGGCATTTGGATTCCATACTCCCTAGAAACAGGCTGATATAATTGTGTCTTTTCTCTTCTTAGTTTTCAGGGACTATAACAAAATAGGATACAAATTATTTTACTGTTCCACTTGACATCCCCCGGAGTTACAGATGGGCAGCCCGTACTTGGAGACTTGTATAACCTGTCTAGAACAATGCTGACCCTCTTGGTATTTTAATAAATTTTGAATAAGGTACCATTATTTATTTATTTTTTTAAAAGATTTATTTATTTATTTTTGAGAGAGTGAGAATGAGAGAGAGAGAGTACATGAGAGCGGGGAGGGTCAGAGGGAGAAGCAGGCCCCTCGCTGAGCAGGGAGCCCGATGCGGGACTCGATCCCGGGACTCCAGGATCATGACCTGAGCCGAAGGCAGTCGCTTAACCAACTGAGCCACCCAGGCACCCAAGGTACCATTATTTAAATAATTAGAAAATTTTTCTTTAAAATGTCTGATTTCCAGCTTCTCTTAGCAAGAGAAGGCTGGTGTCCCCCACAAGGTAGACATACCTTGAGTCGGAGAGGCAGTGCCCTCTGGGTAAGGGTTATGCCGTCCCTAGTTAGTGAAAGCCTGTGCATGTTCCTTTGGATTCAACACTGGAATCAAATAGCAGTTGTTAGTTACTGCTGTTTTTCTTATTGTAAAGTTAAGAAAAAGGTGAGCTTGTGCATCTCCTAAAAAAGAGAAATAAGTATCAAAAAAAAAAGAGAGAGAGAGAGAGAGAGAGAAGTAGGAGGGCACTTTTGAGGGGTTTGGGGGGTTGGGTGGGAATACTGTCCAAACAAAGAATGTGTGCACAGAAAAATGACAACTTAAGGCACCATAAAAACCAGCCAGGACTGGTGTACAGAAAAGATGGGCATTGAAAAACTTAATGGACTGAAAAAACGGTAGTGTTTATTTTTGAATGAGAATAAAATAAGCCATCTTCTGTGAAATGTAGTTCTCTATTAAAAAAAAAATTGCCTGGGCATCAAAACCTTTTTACAGACAATGATTTTTATAAGAGTTTCTTTTGAATGCAGCAGAAATTATGTGTCCAGAGCGTAAACAAGCATTTGCAGACGGTAGGGTAACCAGAAACGTTGTAGCTCAGCATGTTAAAAGTCCGGTTGAGAACTTCCAGGATAAGTTAAGTTATTGGTGGCACTTTCTGTTGCAGCAAATGAGAACATGGATATAAATCATTGCAGATCATTAGCTGTATTTATTTGTGATGTGGAGAGAATTTTAGAGGGGTCAAAGAACTTTTAGACCAGGAGTCCCTGAAAGGCAAAACATCAGGAAAATGGCTTACTTTGTGATGAGAAAGTGCTCAGACCATTGGATGGAGAACACACTGTTCCAAATTGTAAGGGCTACTACAGGTTGGCTCTCACAGAGGGTAGGGTTGATGTTGGATTTGTCAAGCAACAGATCTGGAGTGGCAATACTTTGTAGGGGCACTATGCCTAAGTCCATTAATTTCATCACTCATTAGGAATCGCTTTGGGCTAAAAAGCTGAAATGGGACAAGTAATTAGTACCAGGAATTAGCTATTCTTCCGTATCTTGGAGCAAAATCAGGTCAATGTTTGGTTGATAAATTTCCTGGCTTACTTGTGCTGTGATACTGAAGAGATTTCTTTTAACTGTTCATGTCATCAGAGGAAATGGTCTCATCTCCACTTAACAGCAAAGATTGGCTCAAAGTTACAAGATTCTTACTGCTGTTACAACTCATTTACACCTTTTGAACATTTTTCTATAGGGGCATTTGCAAGTATTTGTACAAATGTCTCACTGGCTTCTCTCAGTCCTGACAAAACTGGAAATCTTTGGGAAATTCATTTGTTTAGGAATAATGTGATCCAGTTTCTTATGTTGAAATCAGTTTCCAGAAATGAAAACAATAGCTTGAAATTCATTCTCCAAAACTAGGCCATTGAATACTGGATTTCAAACTTTATGAAAAGAAACTAGCATTATTTAGCTTACCTTTCTTAGTTTAAAAAAAAAAAAAGGTAAAAATTAAGTAGGCTCCACACCCAGTGTGGAGCCCAGTGTGGGACTTGAACCCTGAGATCAAGACCTGAGCTGAGATCAAGAGTCAGACACTTACTAACTGAGCCACCCAAGCACTCCAGTTAATTTTTGATAGTACAAATGAAGGGCTATGATTTAAAGTTATTGAACAGTAATACAAAATGGTATTGAAGACTGAATATGATAATGTTGAAAGCTGGGATTATACACACATCTTGGAGGAATCACCTTACTGGTAAGAACCATTTACAAAGATGTGATCCATGTTGGGAGAGCCTTTGTTTAGGGGAAGCTATATTCCAAAATCAATCTGAAAAAAACTACCTCCCACCGCCAGTTCTAAGTATTTAACGCTATATTCTGTACATTACAGTGAAAAAATGCAGAGCCTGATTGACATTTTGGTTCAGTAGAAATAAGATGTCAAGCTTCTGATTTCAAATCAAAGCAGTAATGAATTATGAAAAAAAAACCAGGAATAATTGCTTTTCTTTTTCAGTTAAAATTTTTTAATATAAATAGAATATGTGTATTATATATATATTTAGATTAAGTCACATGCCTACACTATAACTTAGCAAAAATAAAGAATTTGGTGCGATTTTTGGAACTTTGTTATTCTTACATTCAGCTCACATTGTTCAGGTCTGCTACCTCCCTGGTCCTTCTGACATTTCCTACTCATTTATCTTAGTTACTTGCTGATAAACTTTTACATCTTTTACCAGGGAGTAAACTGTCTGAGGGTTAAGATTTTATTCCTCTTACATCCACAGTCCTAGAATGGAAGTAAGTCCTTAGTGGATGGTCGATACATTTTGGTTAAATTGTATTGAATTGCCTTTTTGACTGTTAATCTAAAAAATACTGGGATAGTTTCCCACCAAACAAACATGTTTATTTTGACTTACAGAAACGTGAGTAATGCTCGTCAACAGCTCTTCTAGCCCCTAGGTGATTGATGTGTTCCTCCCTGTCCCCAGGGGCCCACCCAGCCAAACCCCCTCCCGGAGAAGAACAAGGGAAGGTCCTTCTCGTTGGCTGCAAGGCCACAGTGAGGGGGGGGCACAGTGTAGGCAGAGTTCCCCTGCCACCCCAGCAAAGAGCTACCACTTACAAATAGGGCACGTACCCTTCTGACTGTGAAAGATGGGGCAGCAGCTTTCCAGACAGGAGAACTTGGCTTGAATGATTTTACTCTTCACCTCACCCCTCCAGAAGATAAAAGGTGGTTTGCTAGTTAATAGGATTCTTAAAACCCTTCTGTGACACGTTTCCTAATCATTTTTCTGCCTCTAATGAGAACATGCCTTCTTGAGAACTAGAATGGTGTATGATTATTTCACTGTGAAATCTCAAATTAGTGGGATGTTACTTAGAAGGTAATTTTACTAAACTGACACTTGTTATTTCTAGCCTTTTAAAAGCAGAGTAGAAAGAGAACTTTGAATTGTTATTGTGT